AGCCGACGAAATCTAAAAACTTATCGATTAACAATTTCAAGCAGATAAAAATTGTAGAAGCTATGTAGGCAAGGTTTCCACCTAAAAACGTACAGTTATTCAAAAATTCTTAAAGTCGAACACCCAGAAGTGGATCCAAGTAACTATAAATCGCTCCCGCACACAGTCGCGTCGCACTGTTCAGGGTGAAGGCTCACACAGCAGCAGAGTGAGAATAGTCGGGAAATGGCAGATAAGAACAAAGACTCCTGCCACGGTGTTCGGCAACCTGGATGTTGAAGAGATCCGACGTCAATCCGACGTACGATGATGCGCACCATGTACAACTGTATTCATTAACCAGGGAAGACTGCTTATTTTGAAATTATTCACAGTTAAAACATGCGAGCTATTATTAAAAATAATGTTCCAAAAATAAGATTTTAAACTTTCCGGTACCTGTTTCAGACAAGCTGTATGAGCGATGAGCTATGAGAAGCCCGCATGAGAGGGTTGCTTGAAGATTTGAAACGTGTCATCAACTACCTATTGTAAAAAGTTGGCTTAAAGGCATTGGAACAATCAGCTAACCTCCTAACCAAGAACATTGCAAATGCCCATGAAAATATTCGCAAATGCACGGCGAAAACGAAAAATTAGTTCTCAACTGATAATTATGCAAGCATCCATGAATTAAAACAAATATTTGACCCAAATTTCAATAGTTTCTGCATAAGCGATAAAATTTTTGACATCAAACGATGACAAAGTTAGGTGCTGAAACAAAAGTGTACGGTCAACAAAAAACGTTAACGTATTATCAACATTAAACTGGTTAGTCGTAAGACAACCCAAAGCAGGTACTGAAAAATTTTGAATTTTCGGAACTGTCGGCATTATATGCAGCTAAAATTTGTTGGTAATTGAAATTTCAAAGCGAAATTAGGCTTATGAATTCAGGCCAACCGCACAAAATGCCCTGATGATCCAGGAACTTGAAGTTTAGAGTAAGTTTCAGGAGAAATGGTGGTAGAGTTTGAACAGTTTATCAATTAATTTGTTAATTTTATCTTTAAATTTCAAATTGTTCTAGAAATTGAAATAAGAATTTCAATAATTTTATAAGGATAGGAGGTTTGAACGTATAGGCTGCTGGTATAACGGATAACATTAACTAATATCAAGCATCGGCCTTTATCAGACGTACAAATAACCAAATATTTATTTATGGCTGGGTCTTTCAAAAGACGGAAGTCACGAAATCGAAAAAGAGATGGGAAAATCTTTTAGTATATGAGTATGACCCTGTATATATGACGGTAAGCTGAACTGATATTACAACAGTTAGAAGTTGAAACATCTTTGGTTCATGTAAAGAAGTACATGAGATGAAAAATGTGTGATAGTCTAAGGTTGAACCGGGAGGGTATAAATTGAGACCAAAGGCGAGTGAAAACTTGGTTCAGGGTCCCATACTGTAAGAACTATACATAGTCGAAGACAGCTTTATCAGGGATTACAGGGCTGAACCTCGTTGTGGATACCAAGATTAATTAGTTTCAGTACTACTTTTTTTCGTGTAAACTATGATTTTCTCTGCTAATTGTATTTGAATTCTCTAAAATATATACGCTTTTTCTTTCCTCTTGAAGTCTTGATAACCAATAAGTCAATGGTTTGATCTTTTTGAACCGAATTGCGTTAGTGCTAGACCATACACGTTTTTGAAGCTTCGTATAGAGTCACTGTTTATTTTCATAAGCTTTATAGAGCTATTTGAAGCAATGAAGTCACTTAGAGTCATCGAAGATTACGTTTGATTTCTTCACACATATTGCAAACAATCTATGAGTATGTCACATTCTACGCAGGTATGAGCCGTCTAGCGCTGGCACCAGGCCTGGTGCTCAAACAGGCACTCACTGACTACTCCATGGACTTCGATGACCTCGCAGAGCTCGTTAAAGCAGTTCAGAACACGGCAGGCAACGCAGTCAGGGCTAAGGTGTGTGCATGGGACCGAGTAAATTATTGAATGAAATTAATGAATTAGAAAAAGCCTTCAATTAATACAGACATTAAACCTGTGACCGCACAACATTCGCAATCCAATATGTCAAGAAAGTTTGGATGAAGTCTGGTGAATCGATATGGGACTTGAAGGAAATTAACTTTTAAAATGAGAAAATTCATACTATTTATTTCCCTTTATGAGCTTCGGTTCCAAATTCTTCGTGCAGAAGTGACAATAAAAACACAGAAGAAGTGAACGATATTTCTTCATAAGAAATAATATATCAGAAATAATAATAAAGTATAACCATATAAATGCAGCGATATAATAAAATTAAAGTTTTAATAAACATAGGAATAATATAAAAAAATTTTCAGGATAACTGATCGATAAAGTGAATTTACACCCACAGAACAAATACGAAAGAAAGTGAACTAATGTCTTCAGGTTCGTATCACAAATTTTAATGAAAAACACCAACGAATGCTCTTGTCATATGTCGGTGAAAGTGACTTGAAACTAAAATGGGAAATAAAAAAAGATTTCCTAGCAGGCAAAATATTTAAGTCGTGCATGGCTTCCCCTTACACGATGATTGTTGTTTTGAGGTGATGTAAAATGGCATCTAATTGTGGAGAAATGGTTCTGAAAAGAAAAACTCATTATAGTTGTATTCAATATTGCCCGAATTTTAGTTGAATTGTATTGTAAAGTGCTTGCTGATAAACTCGTGGCACTTGTAATTCTTTTGAACTTGTACTCATAGCTGATGATGATCAAAGACGAAGTATGGCGCGTGGGGCAAAATTGGCTGCAACTGGATGTCATCCCTGACGAGCTTCTGGACACGATGAACACTGAATCGTTTCAAAACAACTCCTTAGATGGGTTTATCGAAATGCTGGATCGTAGCTTCTACTTGTTCAAAACGGCTGAGATAGCCATACTTGTCTCAGCCGTGAGTGTAATTTTTTGAAAAATTAAATAGTTGTATATGCCATTCAATTCCGTAAAATTTGCGAACATTAATAGAAGAAATATATATTCACGACAACCTATCCAAATGTCCACCTTTTAATGCATGATTTTCAGATTTTTGTGTTATTGGTGGTGTTTTATTCATCATTAATAAGAGATTTTCTAATTCAAGCTAAATTCAAAGTTGGTGAATTGAGCTCTTGTAAAACTATCAGAACATTTAGTGCTCTCTATCAGAATTAAAAATTCAGTAAGATAACATGCAATAGTATGTAGAATGAATGTACATGAAAAATGGATTAAGGAAGTGTTCAACAGTTTATAAAGGAAACCACAGAATTGTCATCTTTTCGAAGTGAGAGGGATAATCGACAATATAGAACATGCTGATCTAAAGTTGTAATGAATTGTTTATAAGTCATGAAAATTCATACAACAGACCATTTACTGGACAAAATTTGAATATAGCCTTTCCCAACCAATTATGATAATATTCATAGCAATCAACCAAATTGTATTAAAAAATCTAACGAAATTATTTGATTCGAACTCAAAAGGTTCGCCCGGACCAGCTGGCTCGCTTATCCGGTAACGCTAAGGAGGCGTAGGGATAGCTACAAATGTCTCTAAAATCATTCTGGCGGGACTTCCGCTATCGGTAGCCGTAGCCCCCCTCTTCCAAGATGGTAAGTAGATATCGGAATTTTTTAGAATTACATTAATTCGCAGACACCCAAGCTTTATTTCGATTTACTTCTTTAAGACATTTTTTTTGTTTTTCCCTGTACTGTGAGGTAACATTAAGGTACGCAGTCAAACCCGACCGAACTCCACAGCGAGCCTCCCAGACTACGACACGAAATCCGTGAATTCATGAAATAATACATAACGCAATCCTTTGACATGAAATCACTTTTCAAAACGGTAAGTTGCTACTCCCAAGCATAAAGCGTTGGTCAGGTAGTATATAGATGACACTCATTTCGGGCAACATTTTTAGGTGGCCGATGAATAGCCAGCGTTCCCCTGGAACTAATTCGCTCCGGCCGACTGCTGGCCAGCTCTCATTATTTACCGCAATAACCATCTTGACAGCTGAGTAATTCAAGACTTTTGCCTCCTCTCATTCCTCACTACAACGCTTCCATCGGAATTGTTAGTCTTTGGTATTATCACTCAACATGTTAGCATGCTTACATATAAGTAGTTTTCGGTGATAAATATATATAAAATGAAGGCTGATCAAGAAATTCTCGGTATACCAATCAGTGGAGATTAAAAAGCATTACTATGAGTCTCAATAGGCTGTTCTCCCATTTTTTTTTAATTTCCCACACGAAACTATTCTCCTTGTGGTCTGCTTAAAGGAAACAGCCGATTTTTATATAGCCAAAGTTTAATTTGATCGCCCATACCTGTATGCAAAACGATATAAATGAGAATTAATGGTACTTTTCCAAAAAGCTTCAACATTAATTAGAAAACTATCGCAGAATTCAGACAAATGCTGGGACTTGTTTAAGCATTCAAGGGCTTGCCCACTTTGTTGGCAAGTGGAGTGTAGCTCTTCTGTAGGATAGTATAAATAAGATGTCTTTTTATCTTATACAGGGTGTTTCAGAATTAAGTAACCCTTTTAATTTGTTAATAAATAAAAAACTAAGAACGTTATGAAGTTGAAACTTGTTTTATTTAAAAGAAGAACATTTTTATGGTAATATTGTATCCTAGTTTTTAAATATAATATCTTTTAAATGCCCACCACAATTGTTTTGACAGAAAATTTAAGGCTTGATAATTAAACACAAATTTAGCAAGCTATACAGGATAATGACGTAACTATGATGCAATATTACCATGAAAATGTTCTTCTTTTAAATAAAACAAGTTTCAACTTCATAACGTTCTTAGTTTTTTATTTATTAACAAATTTAAAGGGTTACTTAATTCTGAAACACCCTGTATTATAATCGAATTACAGTAAACCGTACGAGGAATATTGGGCAATCTGACCTTGCATATCTTCCAGGGTCTGATGATATCGGAAATAGCTTTCAAGTCAGCGGTGAACATGAACTTGGACGCCGATGCGGCGATGTTCCTTCAGGGACAGGACGCCAGGAACATCCCGACCTCCAACATCGTCCAGCAGCTCGAGTACATGAAGGATGGCTTCCCTACACGCCAGGCGGTGGGTTTAGGCCTATATGAGCCTCACTATTACCTAACACAAACTTTGGCATAACCATGCCACACAGCGACTAAGCCAACATGGGACTACGCAAACTCTGATAATAACCTAACCGCAGAGTGAGGAAACTGACAGTGACCGCTCAGAAATTTATATCCACAGATGAGCAAAGAAGACTCTTGCACCAAAAAATCGCACTGTAATAACGAACTCAAAGAGACAGAACTCATAGTAACATTGTTAGGTAACCGTCCAGCTACCTAACTCCAGACACCCAAATTCTAAACAAATACTATCGAGAATATATCCATTTAGTTAGTACTATATAACTCTTGCGTGAACTTTGCTCCACTGACCAAAATCTACCATGAATCTCTTACCGTAAGTTCTGCGACCACACAAATCATTCATGATGAAATAGCTCGTGAAGTGTCTCCTGACCTGAAATCGACCTAGCCACACATGGATTAATCACAATAATGTATAATAGTAATAATGAGTATGTCCATTATATTTATAATAAATGATATACTAATTCGGATCCACACAGAAATAGTGTAATTATTTTTCAAACGCATGCGATTTTCTAAACTAGCACCTCACATGTACAAATTAGCTCTTTTTAGCGCATTTTCTCATTTATCGAAAAAATGCACTATTGTGCTCGCCATGTCCGTCGGTCTGTCTGTCCATCCGTGACTTCAAGTTTTCGTCGACGAGAAAATGCGCTCTCTGTCACTCACTGCAGCAGTGAGTACTGAGTTATATTTTTTATTTTTCTATCTTCCATACATTTCACTTTGTTATTTGATAACAATAATAGGGTCATAGCTGGCATGCTTTATAAGCTATGTTCATCATTTGTCCAATGTCTCATACAGATCCAATGAAGCATTTGGACAAATTTGTCATCATTTGTCTCAAACAGTCCTAATGCATATAAGAAACACAGTACAAATAGCATGTTTTCTTTCCATTAATCAAATTAATTAGTAAGTTTGTCATTTGAAAGGGAGTAAGTTCAAACATTGGCCATCACGAATATTGTAGCCACATATATTACGCAAGTATTGGCACCGTGACGGCTACACAAGTGCAGAAAATACACTGATTATATAAGCTAGTATGTGTGAAGGTACTTCTCGCCCCTCAGTGCTACGTTCTGAAAGACATCTACGTGAACTACTCGGCGACGGAGATGCTGACGCAGAGTGAGGAGGAGGTCTTCCAGCTCCTCACGCCTGCCGCCATCGAGCGCATGCCCATCTGCGTCGTCGCCGCCTTCGGGTGAGTAATCATAAAAAACTTTTACTCATCTAACAGGACACTTATGTAAAACTTGTAAACAAGGCGATGCGAAATGCTTACTAAAATTTAATAGTGACTCACGCGACTAATATCGTTCATATCAATGTATTTCTAATTAAAAATCTAATTATGGACAGTGTTAATACTATATATATATATATATATATATATATATATTAATGCTACTCCTTCAAATAACTATGCTGATTCACGTAATTTCCTTTGAATTCTACCATTAGCAATGCAATTAACTCCATAGACAATTCGAATCAAACAATTATCCTAAGGCATTTCACTGCCAACGTCACTATAAACGAGGTTGTGCAATTTCATGACCATACAAGTGAGATCACTGCTTTTTAAAAAAAAGTTAGATTTAGTTTGATTCAGTTTGATTCAAGAGATATTAAAAACGCTCTCAGTCATTAGATTTTACTGTACTATTATTTTTGCAATTCCTGATTTTTCTATTCAATCAAGTGATAAATAGTTTCGAATTTACTTGGACACTTTCAGTCACTCCTAGCTGGGTCATTTTATTGCGGATTCATTACGTAGCAACAACTTAATTCTCTCAATTGGCCATTCTTTCCCAAACATCTATGCTGGTGAATTCAAATAGCTGATTTTGGTTAGTAACCGTTTACATAACAACACTCATGAACGAAGACTGCCAGACGATTTCCAAAACTAGGTACATCTCATCATTTAACGTACGAAACATTTCGTATCTACAAAATTTAATAAAATTTTCAATATTGTTGCAAAACATTAATTTCAGCACAGAACGGCTGCAGCGCCTAAACGGCATCAGCAAGATAATCCTACTGGAACGTCTCGTCTTGAATAAGAAGAAGGCCCTGGCATACTCTTCCGTCAGCCGTGCCGCCCTGCAAACCATCGTGGAATAATCCTTAAACAGGGTCGTCCGAACGTGTTGACAGCGGTGGACGTTAACCTATACAGGGAGCTTTTGTTATTCTTCCCCACGGACCTGCTGGATGTCGTTACTGCAGAGGGAGCTCAAATCGCTCTCGGCATCTTCAACGTAAGTTGTGCATGAGGTTAGGGAAGAGGGCAGCTGAAGCGAAAATTCTTGTCCATCTCTGTCCAAATGGTTAGTTTTACGAAGAAAGTAATGCTACTTGAAAATTTTTGAAAAAACGCAAAGTAGTGTTCCTAACTATGGTAGTTTTTAAACCCTGAATAGGTAAGTTTGTATAGGTGATATTTTCAGATATATAAGAACTTAATAACGAGAATTACTCTCTTCCTACCAATCACAAACCATGGACGCCTTCAGTCCTTGGCAGCAAGCGCCCTGATGCCGTGTCTTGACGAAAGAAGACGAGTGGCCATCGCTAATCTGATCACAAAGTACAAAGGGTAAGTAAACATCACAGTTGGGCATGTGACCATATGTAAAAGTGTCTTGAACGATTAAAATTTGACATGAATAAAGTATGATTCTTGGTGGTTGAAATGGTTCGATAACCTCTTTGAATTTTTCAGGGGCTGATTTACGTTACATTAGGTAGCGTGGCTTTTTTAGCAGATTGACTAGGGTGCGACACGGTGATTGGTCTGATTTATGTCTCGGTCGTATTTATAGTAATTATTTTAATAGTTACATGAAATTAAACAAAATGGAAAATTGTACAGCAAGTAAGACTTGAATTGATACTTTATATTGAGGGCAGACGCTTGATTTACATCAACCGACACATGTCTACTCTAAATTGAGAACTGACACTGGATTAATCTTCCAAAAGCTGTCTAGTACGCAACCTGGTCATCACCGAGAGGTGGCTATTCTGATGGATGCTGGTCTGTGTATAAGGTCTGCTAGCATTTTTGTAGTGGACGGGTGAATGTTTAGTTGTATGTTTTTGTCCGGTGTACCAGACTTTGTCGAAGGCTTTCGTCAGTGCACTATGCCAGTGGTTGTTGTTGCGGTGCCACTAAAAACAAAAGAAGACAGCAAGAGATTGCACAGTGTCTAGAAGGAACAAGGGGAAATGAAGAAGACAGTATGAGACGAAGTAATGCACCTAGCGCCAATATAATTTGTTATAGGTGTAAGGGGTTTGGTTGGGGTTAGGGAAGAGTGGAAGGAATCCGTGAGAGCTTTGAAAGGTTTTCCGAACGGAAAGTGGTATTTCGTTATAATTCATTATTTACACGATTGTGAGCTATTAAAAAATGTAAATGTTACGTCACTATACATATACTGTAAATGTGTTACTATACATATATACGTTTAGATATTTTTATTTTTCTGTGTTTTGTCATGTTATTTTTGAAGAGATGATATGAAGGTGAACGTGATAATGCTAATGATGAGAGTGGTGAGTCACTCGAGACTCGAAGGGTAGGTTTTGTTGAGTGTTGTTGGGATGTCTGTAGATCTTCGGTCTCGTCTTTACTGAGAGTCACTCTCGGTGAGTCGGCGTCAGTCCATCAATGCCAGCGTTAGCGATGTCAATCAGGCGTCTCATTGTATTAATTATAATTGATACGTATTATTTACTAGACGTGGTAGAGATTGATGGAAAAGTACTAGACCTGATTCAGCGTGGAAATCATCACGTAACAGATCACGCGATCAAGGCCTCAGCATTAGGCGAAAGTCGTGATTCTATAAATGGCTGGGAGCCTATAGTAATTTCCCCCGGTAACCAACAAGCACGCCCTAATGTAACATATGTTGGAGTTACTCCGACGAAACGGTCGACGTCTTAGCCTATACCTGTCTCTTATATTTCATGTATAAACACCTCTATTCTCTAGACAGATGGTGTTTTACTTATCCCTAGATAATGTGGCAATTTTTGGAATGTGGTCTGTCGATGAGTCGAGGTTCCGGAAATATGGACTGATACAAGTGCATTTGTGTCTGGTAATGAGCGAGTGTAATTATTGTCTTCCTATGTGGTTTTAGGAGCTGTTTCCTAGTGTTGTGTGTCTTTATGTGATTTTAGGAGCTGTTTCCTAGTGTTGTGTGTCTTGCATTTATTTCTGCGACGAGGTAAACGGGACGGGGGCAGTTCTGTTTTATACCCGTCGTGCTTTTAGAAAAAGTAGAATATTTTTGCTGAGAAGGTGGAGTCGATATCTCAATTGACTTATAGAGTTCTGGATAATATGGAATCCTTTGTGAATCTGCCTGAATCCTTTGTGAATCTGCCTAACGAGGCTGGCACGCGGTCAATATATAAGTACATCAAAGAAACGTCTCCGATGAATATTTGCTTACTGCACCTAAGTTGGATGAACCAGTGCCAAACGGACAAGACTCCTATATCTCAATGTCTGCTTGACGAGAGTGTGGCGCTCATTCTAATCAAGTGCAGATGTGGGAGAGACAAATTTCTCCTGATCTCATATATGTTAGAAAAAGGTTGTTTCATTGACAAATGTCACGTGTACAAATATCTGACGACAAAGAGACCGTTAATTAAACATGTGCGAAGTAGATAAGTGTCAGATAAATTGGTTTACAGTGGGCGAATGACATGGAATAGTTTCCAAATGCCAAGTATCTTATGAATGAATGTCTAATGCACAAAATTTAGTTTGAAAAAGTATATTTTGGAGCGATATTCAAGCATGTGGAAGTTGAATATATGTCTGATGTCAACCAAACTAGAGACAAATTACTCTTGAACAAGAAAATAATAACACAGTAGTAAATGGTGTACAAGTGACTGCCATTCTGGATTAGGATGGACAAATCAAATACTAAACAATTCATTGATTGAATCACAAAACCCTTGTTGTTGTGAAAGAAAGAGAAAATAACTCCATCTGACTATCAATGAATCAGATTAAAATAATTCTAAGAAGCTAATTCTGTATTCTTGTAAGAATTTAGTTGGCCTCAGAGTTTAATTGGACGGCATTATATTTCAGAAAAACAATCACTTGGCTAACTTCAAGAAGTCATATATAATTGCATATATTTAAAAGTATTTATAAAATTTTCTATAGTGCATTAGCCAAAAACTAAACTTTATCTTACCTGGAGAAAAATATCATGAACATCACATGTATAAATTGCATTGACATACCCTTGTAAACATATGACGACTGCATGATAACATAACATATTGATCTCGGCGCTGAAGTGTAGGCCTGATGTGGCCTGTCGCCGATTCTTTTCCTTTTCGTGCCGTGTTCACAGAAGATCTTAGTTTATAGCCGTGGCCCCTGGTGTTGATTCTTGTTTCAAATTCTGGTAATCCTTCGGGGACCTTGTATAAACCATGAGTATACTTGTATATTTCAATGAGGTCCCCACGCAGACGTCGATAACTGAGGCTTGGAAGCTTCATAATCTTCAATCTTTCTTCATAGGAGATAGGACTTGCCCTCCAAGCCTGGAATTATCCTTGTTGCACGTCTTTGAACATTCTCTAGTAAATTTCTGTCCTTTTCAAATCTCGGTGACCACACAACGTTTCAAAACTAGATTCGGGCGCACGACAGCAACAAACAACTGCTTCATCGCTTCTGCATCTAGGAACTCGTATGAGCGTCTGATTAGTCCAAGAATTTTGTTGGATGTGTTAGCTTGCGTTTCAACATGCTTAGAAAATTTCAGCTCCTTGTGGCCATAAACTCCGAGATCTTTTTCCATACTTGACTTTTCAATCATTACTCTCTCGTTGCAACCATGTCTTCTCATACTGTAATCTTGCTGTTCATTGTTCTTCCCGAGGTGAAGTACTTTACACTTGCCAGCATTAAACCGCAGCTGCCACGTATCATCCCAGTTAACTAAGCTGTCAAGATCATCTTGTAATTGCGCTTTATTCGACGCATCCTTCACTGTATTATAAACTTTTGTGTCGTCGGTATACATGGAACAGACGCTGGAGACTGCTTCAGGCAAATCGTTTATAGAAGCAACGAACAAAATAGGCCCAAGAACGCTCCCTTGTGGCATGCCACTGCGCACTGTTACCCAGTCTGACACGGTTCCGTTAATACTGACACGTTGTCGTCTACCTACTAGAAAATCGAGGTACAATGCATCCACTGGCTCCCTTTCGTCCAGCAGGTGAGTCTAATCGTTCAACGTAGATAATAAGTTAGTGGTGCAGGATCTACCGGCGATAAAACCATGTTGACAATCTGCTATGAGATGGTGAGCATTCAAGTGATCGATAATCCTATCCCTAACAACAGATTCCATTAGCTTACAATCAACACTAGTCAGACTGACAGGGCGATAGTTGCCGGGGCTGCTTTTGTAACCTTTTTTGAAGTATGGTGTTACTTGGGCTTCTTTCCAGTCGGACGGCAAAGTTCCTTCGTTCAAGGTTTTTTGAAAGAATACTGTCAATGGGCCGGCCAGAACGGCTGCTAATTCTTTGAGCAATCTGAGATGGAAGCCGTCTGGTCCAAATGACTTGTTGGGATTTAGAGCTACCAGGCGCTTGAGAACCTCTTCTTCGCGTATATCAAAACATATTAACTTCGAGCCAACTGGGCGCTCCTCAATATCTGGAATACTGTTCAAGTTCTCATCTGTGAACACACTGCTGAAGAACTGATTAAGAACATTAGCCCTGCCCTCATCAGAGGAGATCTTTCGTTGGTCTACTTTCAAATCAGATATACCGTCATTTGACTTACACTTCGAACTAGCGTACAATAGGAAGTCTTTCGGATTCTTTTTTGCATTTTAGCAATATTTTTTTTCGAAGTTTTTCACTGCAGTGCGAAAAAGTTCTTTAGCTCGATTTCGAGCTCTGGCATACAGGTTATAATCAGACTCGCAGCGAGTTCGTAAATAACGCTCGTAGGCTACTTTCTTGGTCTTTAGCTGAGTCTTAACTGCACTGTTCATCCACTGGGACATTTTGACTCCTCCAAGCGTAATCTTGGGTACACAGGCATCAACTGCAGACATAACCGTGTCTTTGAGAAACGACCATGAATCAGCCACGCTCATGTCCTTAATACAGTCCGAAATATTCCTCGCATTCACCGTTTCACGGAGTTTATCATAGTCGCTCTTCGCAAAGTTCAAACGTTCAGGCTTCCGAAGCGTCTTTTCTGCACAACACTTAATATTGAAGAAACATTGATTGGTGGCGGCTTTTGCCCATCGGAGTATCGTGGCGAAGCTCATCTATCATTGATTCTTCACTATTAAACACAAGATCTAGAATATTTGGGGTCTGTTTACCCCTAAAATGGGTTGGCTTGGTGATGTTCTGGATTAAAAATGAGTCTCGCACAGACTCCAAGAACAAGGATGCTGGGTGATTCTCATCTCTTGGAGGAGATTCATCTGCCCAGTCTCTTTCTGATGGTTAAAGTCACCAACGATCAACGTATGCGACCTGCTGAATGACATGCTCGGTAAAAGGCTGTTTAGTACTTTATTGTTAGCAGAGGAGCTGTTAGGTGATCTGTAAATGACCCCTATGAGGAGGCTATCTTTGCCTTTTAGAGTAAGTTCGCACCACACTGATTCTCCAGCTGATTGATGCTCTGCAGATAACTTAACTTGCTGGGCCCCATAAGAGGTTCTAACCCACAGAGCTACACCTCTACTGCACTGCTCTTCATTTAAGTTATGAAAACAATCAAAACCTGGCAGCTGAAATTCAACAGGTACAATTTTCCCCCCGTGATTTTTAGGGAGTGTTTCTGTAATACAAATCATGTCTATACACTCGTTTGCGATCACAGTTAACAGTTCACTTTTTTGTTCAAAACGGAATCCGAGTTCGTGTAAAAATATTTTAAATCTTTTTGTGCACTTTCACTTTGATGTATGCGGTTACTTCCTACAATATTTACAGGCCTTGATCTACGGACATCATTCCTACTAATTACTTGTCCTCCATCTAATCTGACTGTCCGTGAGCAGCCGGTGTTGCCTTGACAGCTTGGAAGTGATTGACCTGATTTTCCGTGCCTTTCCGCCTGATTCTCGCCTACCACTTCTTGCGAAAAACCGCCCTTTTTAAGGGGGTGGAATCTCTTTTTACAAAAACTGACTTGTAATCAGCGGATTCTCCAAGCTTTCTCGCTGTTTTCAGCACGCTCCAGAACTGAGCAGAATCCTTTACAGTCACCAGCAGAGGTCTGAAGGTGTTGCCAGCAGCATCCTTCGAGCGTAGCCTCTTGCAAGATATAACATCAATCGATGTGTTGAGTACCTTGCTGCAACAGTCTACAACAAAGGCCGAGTCATCCATCATTCGGTCCTTCGCATCAGATGCGTTACTTTCAGGAATCCCAAACCAGACCAGGTTGGCTTTCCTACGTTCTCTATCAATTAATTCACGTGCGCTTTCACTAGCGACTTCAGATAAATCAGCTGTCTTTTTCTTTACTTCCATTTCTTCCGTATTTTTCAACTGAGCCTTCACTTCAGTCAGCTCATTGCATAGCGAGCTCAGTTTGTCACTCAGCGAGCGCACCATCTCACTCAAGAAGTTAACTACATCATTCAACAATTTCGACTCATTGCCGTGCTCTTCCACCAACTCCTCTTTTTTTCGAGCACCAAGAGTTGGTTTTTCGCAATCACGGCAAAACCAATGAAGCAATTTAGATTTCTGGAGAAATGAGTACTCCTTAGAGTTCAACTTCGAACAGCTGATACAAATGAGATCTTCGCATCGTTCACAGGTGACCGTCTGGACTTCGCTCAGAGAGATCTCTTTGCATTACCTGCAAACTTTCATCTCTAACTGGGCTGATTTGATTTTATTTTTTATTCTAGAGGCCGTAGAGGGCTTTTCTCTAGCGACCGTAGAGGGCTTTTCGACTATTTTTTTTTATTTTCTGTCCAGCCATTATTAAATGCACGAACTAGATCTCTTGAACGGAGAAAAGGACGGAGAGAATTACAGAAAAGGACGACTAACGACGATGAACGACTATTATACTGTATATCCGTAAAATCGTCCACTACTGGTGAGGCGAGTGTTAATTTTACATTAATCAATTTGATGATGACTAAAAGTTATATTAGGCATTACTTATACAAGTAAAATATATATTTCTTAATTTATATCAGTAATAATTAGCCAATTTATTGACGAAGCGATGAGATAACTAGGGTAAACCTCACACATCTACGCTCTGTGCATTAAACATGCATAAGTTCGAATGCTGCTACATATATTTCCTAAATTGTTTTTATAAACTTCTATTGATGACCCCGCAGCGATGACCCGACGACATGGCGGCAAATGTCGGGGCTGTGTTGCCTGCTGTACACGCTGCCGTCGGGGACGCTGAGCCGCATCCCCCGCGGGGCCCTCATGTCCTGTCGGTGCCCCATCGCCGACCGCGCCCAGTACGCCCCAGAGGACGAGGCCCGGCAGGTCAATAATCAAATTCCATCGTGTTCAATAAATTACTCAGAAATATTATGTACTCGTGATGCTTCAATTTTAAAAATTCTATATTTTTTCTCTCACTCACATTATGTGAATAATTTAGTTTCACCTAAAACGGTTCTTCATTCCTTTAATGGAGTAACCGCTGTTACTCCATTTGACTCGAAATATCTGCCGGGACAATTCTGCAGAAATCAGCAACTGCGAGCTACGGAAACTCGAAAATTATTTCTTGTAAGCCAAAGAAGACACAACAGTTTCTTCAAATAATTACCGCACTTCCGTCTCCTGCCGAACGTTTAGTTCGGTTCCGCCATGCCGCCTTACTATTGGCAGCGTGTTGCATTAGCAAACACAACCAGATGATGTCACGTCATTTCGAGGTGTGTTCAACGGCTTAACTACGTGTAACATCACCAGAAGTTCGTTCCCTTTCCCTCAGATGGAGTGCCGCAGCGACCTCGGCGAGGACTACGACGCCGAGCTCTGGCAGCGCGACAACGTGTTACGCGTGCAGGCCTGGGCGGCGCTGGACATCCTCGACCCTTACACCATCCCCGGCTACAGCCCCAGCGGGAGGAGGAAGAGAGGTGAGGTGGATATAGCTCTGGCTCAGTTGGTCTCCATGACCATATACTCAAGCCATGTCCGAACTTGAGTATATATTCAAGTCTTTGACATTCGCCACCCGCCTCTTGATGTTAGGTTTGACATTCGCCACCCGCCTCTCACGCTGTACCAGTTGACGCTGACAGCGTGAGCAAAATTCACTAGCCGAGCTGCCTGAAATGTATATGTTCGGACGAATAAATAAAATGGAATCAATTTCGATGGTAAGATCTTGGCTGTAACCATAGAATTTAATAACAATACATTAATTTGAATTTGAGGGTAAAATCCAGCTATAAATATAATTTTAATTTGTATGTGTATTTTTCTGGTCAGATTGTCTTACAATTAATGAGACCAAGAAAATTAAGTAAAAGAATCGTTATCGGCATATTAGTACTAGGATTCATGATATGTATAAATCACATCGAAAGCAGTTGAAAAAGTTTTGTCTATATTCAACGCCAGATTTTTCAACTGCTTTCGAGGTGATATATTCACGTCATGAATCTTGGTACAAATATGCCGATAACGATTCTTTTACTTAATTGTCTTGGTCTCATTAATTGTAAGACAATCTGACCAGAAAAATACACGTACAAATTAAAATTATATTTATATCTGGATTTTGCTCTCAAATTCAAATTATTATATTGTTAATAAATCGTTGTCAATAAATTCTATGGTTACAGCCAAGATTCATATATTCGAAATATTCAACGCCCGATGAGTGACTTACGGATGGACGAAATAAATCAATGCATCACCGTATCAGCGTTTGATTTATTATCCTGATCAGGCGCTCGTATTATTATCGCCTGGTATGGCCACCAACAACTTGCATTATTGGTAATTTATTGAAAACTTAACTTCTAAATTACCATTCTTGTAAAACGCAAACATCAGTTTTCGAAGTATGTTTCTTTTACATTATTGGTCTTTTAAGTATGTTTATCACTCGGCGGCAGACGAGTAATCATGGTTTACTGGCTCAATCAAATATTCGTGCAGCTTTGAGGGATGTCGCGCTGTGTAATCGCGCTTCAGTTAACGGGGTGGACGACATCAGCGTCGAGGAACTGAGCGCCGCGTCCACAAGCGACATCATGAAGTGCCTGAATCCCCTGGGGGATCGAAAAATGGACAAGAGTAAAGCAAAGGTGACAATTTAGTATATTACTGTCGTGGTAGAATATTATGGTCATGACATAACAATGATACAGAACGAAAAAGCCGATGATTTAATCAATTCGTGAAACACTACTTGAATCAATTCGCGATAACCCTCCCTAGCTACACTAAATGATTGCAATGAAAATTGCATCGAAATTCCAGTGATTCTTTAATAAGACCATTTGGCTGTACCTGTATATTTTTAATATTTCGACGCATTTAGACGCAAATATTTCCAAGAAATGGGTGATATATCTCAAGAGACTGATTGTACATAAGAAATTTGAATTTTATGATACGGAGACTGAAAAACTAAAAATGATGGTTGTTGTGATAACCTTGCGGACACACAGAGATAATTTTCATCAAAAATTATGATGTAAGTGGCCTTTAGAGCCATGAATTCTGTTCACAAAACAAATTAGTCGAGTCACAATGCCATAGAAGATGTGCAATGGAATAGTCACAATGTGTTATTGCAGTTTGTACAACTATTTATTCAATATCGTTCTAAGACTAAAATGGGATTGTATTCGCCAATATTTTCACGTTTGAGCAACCAATTTTTACATATCGTCCTCGATTCATACAGATCCTGGCGAATAAAGTGCGAGATTCCTTTAAATCGAAGTCTTGGTCAAGTCTCACCAACTCGCTCATGAGAAAAATGAACTTCATCATGGAAGGCCTCGAGGCCAACGAATTCCATGAACTACCATCTTTTTGCCCTCCGGATGACTTCTCTGAAGCTATCACTGTTTTGGGCGATGAGAAGAAGAGGTTCTTAATCGACGAGGTGAAAAATTTCCTTAATTTAACTCTGAAAAAACATAACCTTGTACGTTTAAAGAAGTACGTTCAATGCAGATGAATGGTTTAGCGACGAAGAGCACTCATAGTTACAAATAAACAATAAATGAAGGAAAGTCGTGATAAAAGATCATTACTTTTCAAACAGTGCCGGCAATGATTAGTCAAATAATAATTATTGGTTGCAAGAGATACGAGAAGTTATTTATGTTCAACGATCGAGAGGATTCCCATCCGCTTTCAGAGTGTGGTCCAGTACCCAATAATAACTGGTAGTTGTTAGATGACCAATTGATCGCCAGTAAAACTTCCAAGGAATAAACTTATATTGATTCATTGCACTGAAATCCATCACCGTTGAAGAACCATATTTTTAACCAGACAAACAACGATAGAAAATTTTAAAACTGATGAATGTGTTAAGCAATGTGTTCGAGTTGGTTTCAGCATAACCTCTATACTATCTGGAACGTTCAACGTTTCATTTTCGATATTAATGAATAAAAATAGGAAATATTCACTATTGCCTTTATTTGAATAGAAAAAATTAGGCATCTCTATTGTTTACTTGCGGCATTATTTTTATTTATCTCAGGAAACGTATCATTCGATTGAATTGAAATCATTCGCGAAAACAGGCGTAATTAACTAGTAGACGGCAGCTGCTGACAGACGTAGGGTTTCTCTCAGTTGGCAAAAATGTTGGTCGTAATTCGATGCGACCAACACCACCCGTAGAAGTAAAAGTATGGACTTACGCTTGGCATGCTACAATTGACGAAAATGTTTAGCATTTTTTAGTTTAAAAATACCACAGTTTGCGTGGGCTGGATTTTTGTGTGTATGGGTTCACAATGTCTATAAATCCTTTAGATTTCAACGTCTTGAATCCTTCTTAAGCGCAATTGATGATTTCAATTTGACCAATGAACGTGTCTGAGAGCGTGAGTGATGAGGGTTTTAGCAAATATAATTAATATTCCTGTGATCATGCAACTAGAATATGAGACAAAGCAATGATTTTAGAAATGCACTGATTCTAATAAGATTAGAATGACTATAAAATTTGCGAGAAAAACTCCAATATCATTACTCAATGAGACCTGCTCTTTCCGATTACGCAAAATTGGAATGCTTGAGAAATTTATGCGTTGCTTTGCGATCAGATCTCGGTAATTCTTCATTGCCAGATTTTCGCAAAAGCCTAAATTTTATCATCAAAATTTCCGAATTGTTCGATCGTTATCTTTGAATTTGTTCAGGTTAAAGCAATATGTTATTAACTCGGGAGCGATGTCTACTAATATATCACTACTGGTTTGAAGAACTCTGCTGAAGTTAAATCTTAGTGACTCGATGAAACTAAAAACTACTCGGAAACGACTTTTCATTTGCTTGAGTGCCTGCTGATATTGCGGTTAAAAATTTAGAGAAATTAGGCTGTTTAACCAATATTTAATGCATTCTTATGCATAGAAAATATGTGAAAGCGCCGAAATATAAATTTAAACATTCAATAAAAGATAAAAATTACTTACTACCTTATCTTACTTGCTCCCACAGCTCATAGCGATTAAGGATAAGGTACTCGACAAGACATGTCAGACCCTTGCCAACTTGACGGACAATCAGCTCGTTCTGCTCAACCGCCTCTGGTGCGTCGTCGAAGAATCTGATTTCAAAATCCTCAGTCCCAAGCGAGCTGTGTGAGTCAATTGATGCATTCAGCTGTTTTTATAAGGAAAAAACAAGTCATAGTGAATATAGTGGCGAATTTACAATAATTAAACTATAAATTTTATCACTATTAGAAACTTTTCCATATGAAAAATCTTTATTGCTATAAATAATTATTATTTTGGCAATCTCTCCTAAATTTAGCAGCAGTTGTAGGAACAAAAAAGTGTGTGGTAAAACTTATGTTGAATTGCTTGCTATAATTTGACTACTGTTGTACGTCTCATACACGCAGGCTCCTGCTGGGCTTGGTCGACCTCGCTGGCACCTTGGCATGGTGCAACAGAGACCTGTTAGCAGAACTCGCTGCAAAGGCGCTCGCATATTACGCCAGACCGTTGTGCAGAGCCCACGTAATTATGCACTAGAATGGTGACAACATTTGTGCCCGCAATATTGCCACATCTAATATTGTAGTGCCACTATGACGCGATAGTGGTGACACTATGCACTGTCATCTTTTTACATTTTCGGATGCCAGTTGGTCGAACGAGACACTATCTCATGCCGCAGAACCTCTGATTCCAATTTTTTCTGTAATTTTTTGTTTTTAATTTATCCGATAAATTATAAGTAATCCCATTCTTTATGTCGCTTTCCGCTGCCATTCAAATAATTAAATTGACCTCCTCATCATATATGATTAAAACAAATACAAGTGGATACAATATATGAAATTTCGTTGCAATAAAAGACACATACGATAATGAGAGCAATATAACACCCAACGGTGTTAAAAAAATTTACGCTTAACACGGCATAGCCATCATAAATTGTAACATTATTTGAAACTTCAACAAAATATTAATAAATCTCTTGCTAATATGTGTAAAATAAAATTATTCAATAATTTGATATTAATTTCGAATAATGATTGATTCGTGGATCTCATGTTTCAGCAATATCAAAGGAAAACACAAATCATTGATAAAAATTTCCTAGCATAGATCCTTTTATTATGATAATGCTTCATATAACGTCGCTGAATTTGGGATATGCACTTATGGAAGTTTATGAACTGATCGAGAAATTAACATTTCGTTTCACCCCAGAGAATATGAACTTTTTGGATACCATGTATAATCTTGGCATAAAGTTTGCTGTGGTGGCCACAAAATATCTCCGGGAGAGTCTTCAGCGTAACATCCGAACAGAGCAAAAAATACAAGAAGTATGGAGTTACAGACAATAAATTAATGCTATTCTAGAACATCTATGAAGAGAGATATTTTAATTATTCCTTATTAATATAGAGATATTATTATATTATATTATTCCTGCTATGCAGTCGCGGGAACACAGCACCCAACACAATTTACGCACCTTAGTATCCCTAGCATCCTTAGTATTTGTTTGGGACATAGCAGTCCCAGGCCACGATGGATCGCCGCCTCTGATTATCGTTCATCCGCCCTCATTTGGGCCACCTGATGCGCTATGGTGTTGCTTGCTTCTCGCCGCTGGTAGTGTTGCAGGGGAGGTCGATCTGGGATTGTGCTCAGGAACTCGTCTAGTTGTCTCTTGAAGGTCTCCAGGGTGAACTCCCCCTCTCTTAGATCCCTTGGTAGGGCGTTGAACAGCCTTGGCCCTGCCACGGAAAGCGATCCTTCCCTCAGGGATTGAAATCTGACTGCGGATCTGTTACGCAGGGGGAGGATCTTGCACAGTCTCCCCCTTCTCTCGTTGTCGCACCTGGGCCTATACTTTCAAAAAAGTTAAGAGATCGTAAGTTCATCCGCCAATCATTGACGGCCTTTCAAGCCAAATCCACCAATCATGGACCAGAAAATAGAGCGTAAGTACTTACGTTCACTTAGCGAGTTTTGAAAGTATGGCCCCTGGTAGATTCTGCTAGGGGCCGTCGTAACCTCGTCTAGCACGTTAATTAGCGGCTCTACGTGTGCGTTTCGTTGTTTTTTTCCCAGGAAATAAACCAACAATTACTTTTCTTGTGACTTTAGGGTGCAAAGTACGTTCAAAGTTCCCAATACCTCATAATTAGCGGACACTGCTGAATCTGGAAACAAAGTTAGACAAATTCATGTGATGATTTTTCGTTGACTGGAACTAATACTCTATACGCTAGTGCCTGGTGAGTGTGAGCATAGGGTAGCCTAACCAGCCATTTACGTGTCATTCGACTCTAACTTTTGTGTCAAGTAACTTCCCTAACATCTGAATGCGACTGATTACAGTGGGCAAGCGATTCACTTCTGATTCTTTCTAAGTCGAGTGTTAAGAGAATTTCCTCCCATAAATAAAATGAAATCTAAGTTGAGGCAGCCCAAACTTTCGGTCTTCATCATTATCAAGTAATGAACTTATTTGACCTTCTACCTATAGCGTAAGATTTTATGTTGAGAAATGAAACCTATGGCGTTTAATTTCTCAACTTTTATGTTTTATTGAATATGCAATAGAACACTAGCGCCGTCATTATTTCTAACTAATTTGAGTTATCCTGAGCATAAAAAAATTCCAAAGGAATGGAGAAGTATATCAGAAGTAAACATGAAAAACATTCATACCCGGAGGGGCAATTTAAGGTTACGCGCCTACTCATGCCTTGTTCGATCAAAAGTCTAGTAGACAATTACGGTGGCTGAACAAAATAAAAAGAAGGCAGTGCATGCGTGTTAGTCGCGATGTCGTTTTTCAGCTTGAGGGAACAGGCGAAATATTCACTAGTTCACCATCGTATGTTACTCACAACGACGTATTTCAGGTGCGGGAGATGGGCGTGGTGTTTGCAGGGATTGAAGCGGCCATAATCCCATCTATCGAACCATCCGCCCTGATCGGACTTACAGCTGCTGCAATGCGCGCAATGACCAGCGACGCAATTCAAGTACGAATTGGTATAATGCTCATAAGCGAACAAACAAAGTTACGGCTTTTTGTTGGAATTTTTCATTACACGAGGTGAATGTTACGTGTTATACAGCTTGAAAGTTCCAAAAGTTTTTCCATAGCTTTGTGTTACACCTCACTTCAGTATCTATGCCATAAATTTTTGACTGTTCCTCTGAAGGCGATGAGTCCATTGCAACTGCGCTGTCTCTCTGCCACGACAGCGATGGCCATGAGCCCTGTTATAAGGGAAAGCCTGTCGGTGGAACAGAAGGCGGCTCTTCATGAGGCCATAGGAGGCACTGGAGGTGTCTCCAAGCGAGGTAAGGCGGCACTAGAGGAGGCCATTAGAGGCAGAGAAGCCACCAGTCGAGGAGAGTCCATCACTATAGGTACCATTTTGACCTAACTACTATTAGGGCCTGTGTTTGTGCTTCTTCGACAAGTTCGGTAGTAAGAGAAAGGTGGAGATGGCGTAAATGGATGATATGGAATGGCTGGCTTCTACATCGGCCCTAGTACTAACACTAATGAATCAAACGATAAAAATTATTGATGGTCTGGATAACGATTTCCATCAGCACTCGTTTAATCAATTTAAATGCTAGTCATAATCAATGCTATCAGGGTATTTTTGCCCGCCTGAGGAATGTTATTTCACTAGGTGTGGTATTACAAACATGGATGTATTAACTCTACATCGGATTCTTTACCTATATTGCCGCTCACAATAACTCAAATAATTGTTAAATTAAAGGTCGGGCGAAGAAATTCTTCCAAACTAATACCAAGAAATCAAAACGCATCAAGATTGAAAGTTCACACAAATTTAAACTCACCAATGCTGACTACCAATATGACATAAAACTATGGGCAATGAAACTCCAAGTTGACGCACGGTACTAAGTTATCTTGTATGCATGAGTTATACTTTTACACATAATTTTACGACAATGTAAATAGTTTAGCAGAAACTAAGAAGAGAAGGGATATAATCGTAATTGTGTCACCCTTTCAGCTTACGGCAACTTTGAAATGCTTTGTACCTAACTCATCTCACGATGGAGAACTAATTCAACTATTATATAAAAGGAATTTGAATTCTCACTAAATTAAGACGAAATATTTAAAATCCATCTGCTAAATTTTGGTGGTTGTACTTCAAATTACTTCAGTGCATGGGGTGGATGTAGGTTAAAGTAAAAATAACATATAAATTAACATTCATGGGATTACCTTACTATAGTCAATTACATTCACACAGACCTGTCGACCGCTGCTGCCCTACTGGCGCTTCTTCTTGTTTGCCTGGTTTTGTAAATGGCGACAGCAGCAGAAACCCCTTCGAAAAAAATTGCGGAACAATCAATAACAATTCAAGAAGTATAAATCAGATATTGAGCATTTTCAAGAAGTATCATCGTTTCCAATTTACCTGGTGATGATGTTTACATCAGCCACGAAATGAATTATTGTGATCTGCATGTGGTAACGCATAAATAATATGTGGATATGTAATATCTTCTTTATGAACAGTAAGTTAATTAAATAACAGGCACCCAACTACGGTGATTTTCGTTTATTCACTGGAATCTATCTTTCGGCTATCATAAAATATTTTCGATTGAAGAGTTGCTGATAAATTCAGTCAAACAAATAAAGTGTATTCGAACGGGAATCTCTGATGATGAATTTCGAAGATTAGAAAATGTTTTAAAATGCTATAAAAATAGGTAAAAGATGCATTACCTTGTACGCGATGATGTTTTTTTCAATGTACACTTACAAAAAAAATTTATGTATAAAGGTTCATGGTAACTAAATTTCTGAGCTGTACAAACATTTTTTGTCAAAAAAATTATCTTCATTCATTACGAAATATTCCGTCCCTATATTATTTCATATGCAGATTCAATAACCTGAATACATTTTTCTCAGCAAAATGCATGGTTTCTCATGATAAATTGTATTTTTTATTGTTCTGACAAAATTTCCATCGACGACTTCAACAATTTTATTAACCAAATCATACGGCAAATAATGAAGCACTTTTTATTTATAACGATGACTTTTCTTTCATTTCATCTCACATGATTCTCAGCTGGGGCCGGTAATTCGTTATTATTGATTTATATTTTCAGCATTCATTTTTTACGCACCAACACATAGCTGGGATACTAGCATTACAAATATCTTCATCATAATAGACAGTAATTTCAGTAACATATTCTTAACGGAATATTTTTTTTCAAAGTTACTTCAAATATTACCAGTTCCGCACTCTAGTGTTCATTAATTAAGTGAAATCGTTTCTCTTAATATACTTCTACATATGTTACGTACATTCTCGTGGGACCAGAAATTCATCTCGCAATTTTCATTTCACGAGTAAAACCACCTGAAATACCTGAATGTCAAACAGAGTACTTATTTCGTCCATGTATATTAATGGTAGTAGAAAAGCCATCTGAAGTACCTGAAAGTCATACTCGTATTTATTTCATCATCGTGTTAGTCACTTCCTTCGAGTATTTCTTATCGAAAGGATCTTTGCCAAAACGAATATTTTTGTGGCGTCTAGTACAAATAACCGCTTTACCTCACGAAATAACCACCTCTGAAGTTGAATTCATGATGGAATATTTAATAACTGTCTATGGAGTAATAATATAAATAATAATATTTTGTTATATGTGAATATGGAATAAAAATTCCATGAATATAAATTCGTGGAATAAATTTTAGGATTTTCAAGTTTTCCTTAAAATCCACTTATTTCTTCTTTTTTTTGAGACCTCGGGTTTTTTTAATTAATTAAAACCACAGTACGTATGGGTAGGTGGGCAGTTCCCCGGGCATATACGCAGTGCAACACTGGTGGTGAGGTTATGTTTGTCTGGTGATGAGGCGGATATTCGTTACCTTTATACAGACGCCAGTTAACTGAATACATGTATGTTAATAGAAAGAATGTCCCTTAATACAACTGCGGTTTGTTAAATCATTTTATAATCAAAGTATCTGTCTCTGCCTCAATATATTGTAATATGGGCAGCTAACGCCCAAATTTATTGATTAATTTATTGTTAATTTTATTATTAATTAATTCATAGTAATTTATAGAAATGTATTTAAATGATTGTTGTTATGCAATGACCTTCAGCTACTATTGTGAGCTCTAAAGATTTGTACGTTATCATCGTGCAGATAATTCGATTTAATTAACAAAGATGCAATATAAAATGTATTTCTTAAATAATACATAATATTAATCAGTATAAAAGGTGTTTTTTTTAATAAAATTTTCCTAGTTCTTTACTCTGAAATTGCGATTATTCTAAGCCAAAGTTCATATATTATTGGAAAATCAGAAAGTTATTGTTTTTGTTCTACATCAATTATAGTATTCGGTGCGGATTAAGTGAATAATTTGAGTCCGCTTGATGCTCCAAAAATTACTCAATCAAATTTAGCAAATCAATGATCAGTTCTTTTCAGGATTAATTATTATCATCGTATTATTATATTATTATCATCTTTTTATTAGCTAATAATTATCTTCTTATTATCTTATTACTGTATTTTGATTTTGATATAGGACAACTATAGCTCTGGGTGCAAACAGTGACCCATTTAAGATGGGAAGTTGGACTTTTTCATAAACAAGATAATTTATAATCCTTAATAATATACATATATTTAATAAGTCTTAATCGATCCTTTACCACTCAAGAAACGCAAGAAAATGTTATAAATAGGATTTTAATCTGCCATTTCCTGTCTCCTTGCAATATTTTTCAGAAACTGGTTTAAGTCATAACATTTCGCTGCAATTTAGGGATTATGACACAAACAGTCAATCAAAATCTTGTCTCTTTTTATTGAAATTTTATTTAACTGATTGACACAAGCATTTAAATTAAATTTTGGTTTCATTAGTTTTAAACGGCCAATTTGTTAGCTGCTACATTTCTCATCAATTAGAAGATTTTAATAAATTGAATAACTAAATTGTGTCTGGTACGGAGGTGGCAACAGAATTCGACAAGAACCTTCTCTCGCTCACTAACTTCATAAATATTCATTTTTCTAAATGTGCGCTAGCGTTCCTGGCTCATCATGCTACGACCAGACCTGAAATACTAGCCATCTTGCATCACCTATTTTCTATAATGCTAGAGTGATAAATGATAGATATATCATCTATCATCTGCAGAAAGGAAATAATTCAAATTGAACAAATTCGGCCGTATGTACTAATGCAGAAGTTGACACTGTAGCATCTGTTTTTACTCACTTGTTGAGTAAGTGTAAGTCTACCTCGGTTATATCACTACAAAAAATGAGTATTGGGTGCAATCGAAATTTTTCGAAATTTTCTTTGATATTTGTGGCAATTTTATGATATGTTAATTACTGAATTGCGAGTATACCTTATTTAAACTGTTAAGACTGTAGAACAATGTGAGATTGGTATGTAGATGATATTAATATATTATTAATTCATCGTTTAGTAATCCAGCGCCGAAATAAAAGTTTATAACAGATTCGACTCATAAAGGATGTCTGCTTTCATCAGATTTTCGCATTTATACAATTTCTCATTTTTCATTATTTAAATAATACCGATTCGTGAAAACCTTTACTTTGAATTTAATCATTCACTGGATGTTTTTGAAACAGTTAAATATCCAATTGTTTATTAAACTCGTTCAATAGATGTTCTATATCTATGTAGCGTAAATTCTTAATAGTTTTCTAAGCTACACGTGATCTTGAAGAGAAAAAAATGAGGATATACAATAAATCAACAATCCTTTATGGTTCAAGGTTCAACCCCTGTAATGGAAGTAGCAGGGTAGTCATTCATTGCCGACTTAACTCTTTAAGAGAATGACCTCCGCATGTTGCATGTTAGAGAAAGTTTAACAGATCCTTATACCAGTTATTCAAGCTCATTCTATTTGCTCACATATTTATTTAAGATTACCAATGTTTATTAATCATTGCTCGATAAAATAATTATATGCTGGTACGACCTTTTCTCACATATAAATGCTCTGTCGACTATTATGATTACGAATACTATTCGTAGATGTGATATTTTGTCTAAAGCTTATATATTCAGTTTTTTTAGAGGTGCCTTAACTACTGAACTGAAATAAAGAGTATCAGAACAGAAGCAAGTTGTATTTTATCCCTGATGCTACATCAAGCTTACCCTACGAGCTAAATTTTACAATAGATGTTTAACTCCGACTTGGAATATACTCGACATTAGGTGACCGATTGACATTCCATTTTATCTGTAAAAATCTCCCCGGAAAAAAGCTTCAACCCACGTTGTGACCAAGGAGAGCAAGTAAGTAGTTATTACGAAAAAATTCAATATTTTTTTTCCATTTCAGG